GTCGATACTGAGGATCGAGCTGCGAATGCACTTGCACTGCTGGTCGGTTCATGCTAAATGATGGCAAATGCTGATGTCGTCGGTTGGCAATATGTTGCTGCACATAATGGAAATCATCTATCTGTGAGCGCAGCGGACCTTCGATTCTGGACACTTGAGCTTCTCTCAGGGTTGGAGGACTCGGGAGTTCTGGTGGTTGCGACATATTCAAAAATTCGAACTCTGGACGCATGGCAAAGTCAGGAACACTTGGCATGGGTGGTAAGGCTGACACGATCGGCCAGGGCAAGAGTTCACGCAGCTCCTCTGGCATGCGGGCCATGGAAGCCCAGTTCATGCTCGGCGGGTGCGAAGGGTGAGATGGTGGCGGCGGTGTTGGGCTTGTTCCCGCCGGCTGCGATGCAGGTTGGACTCGATGTGGCTCTGTTTGGTTCGATTCCTGACGAGAACTTTGGACTGTTCTAGCAGGACCATACGCACTACTTTCTGACGGACTGCGAGATGCTTGCCTGACAGGTTCGGACGCAGCAACCGATCGACGGAATCCTAGATTACCAAACGGAAACCCAAAGAAACCTCGACTGGCATTTGGTTCTGTTGGTGCTGGCGGACCGAACGATCTTGGCATGGACACGGGCAAGGACCACGACTGGCTCGTGGCAGCACTCCATGGATCCTGCTGCATGAATGGGTCCTCTTCGTCAGCTTGAGCCTCCTGCGTCATGTAGACGTTATGCACCCGCCGACTCTGATCTGCTTCGTCTGTGTTCATGGCAAATGTGACAATCTGTGGACGGCTCAAAGCTTGACTGGACAAGTCGGCCTCATTCGTGATGATTCCGGCCAAAGGACCTTCATCTTCGACCACTGTGGACATGGCATGGTTAGCAAAGAATGTTGTCGGTTGACTGTTTCCTCCTGATGCATGACGGCGCGGACACGAGCCTGCAAGATGCTCAGTACTTCCACATTCATAGCAACGCATGGTCTGACCGTCAGGGCCCCTGGGGTTTCCTCTGCGGCCCTTTCCTTTGCCTGGCGAACGATGGCCTCGGAAGGCCGGCATGGCTTCTTGCACCTCCATGTCATTCATGTCCGCAAGAAGTGCAGTCACTGGATGTTTACCCTTCTGGCGCTTCCCTTTGCCAACCGTGAATGTGGCACTGGAGTTCTTGCCTTTTCCTTTGAAACCTTTGCCTTTGCCTTTTCGTCGAGTAAACCTCTTAACATACCTACGAACAGTCCTTGTACCTTTCTGCATAAACTTCCGCCACTTGTGTTTGGCGGTGCGATATGCCCAGAAAAGGTCTTGCGCAACACGGCTGGGATCCTGAGAAGCGTCCAGCTCTACAGAACTAGCACTGCCGGAACTGGTGTCTGAATCGGTGACGATGTCTTCATCTTCGAATGCATGGTATGCATCTGACATTTGGGGATGGGCGCTTGCGTGCGCGGCAAATGCATGTTGACCGGATAACCATGGTGACCATGACCCACTCAACTCCTCAGTCTGCCAAGAGGCTGGTTCCCAGCTTTCTTCCTGGGCAAGAAACGCTGTGTGCGCTGAGTGCGATGCGGCGGTTCGGAGGCCTTCTCGAAGGTTCCCGGGCGCTCTTTCAAGGATGTGGCCCATCCTACGTAACGAGGTTTTCAATTGGGTGAACTCTGCTTCGGTGGAAGGGAACAAACCATTAAACGGGGACAACAGTTGGAGAAGCTGTTGGTCCGTGATTCCTACAGCCCGCAGCAATATCCAAGTAACCCCTTGAATGGATACGATTGCACCGCCCTGTTCAGCGGCTCTAGTGCGAACACTGTCAAATCTGACCAAGAGAGAATCTATCGGCTCGTTTCCGTTTCTGGTGAACCCCGTCAGCTCAGTGATTGCTTGAACACGAACTTCCTCCCCCAGATTACCGAAATGCTCTTGAAGGGCATGCATCAGGTAGGTGAGGGGGTCTACCGCAACTCCATTCACGACCCCCCCATCCACCACTGCTTGCGGTGGGATCTGACGGGCCAGTTCCTTGGCAGCTCCTTTCAAGACCAACATCACTGACGCAGCCTTACGTGCTGGTTCCATGTCTGAGGCAATCGACCACAACATGATGTCCCTAGTCCACTGCCGGAACGGATACACAGCTTCCTGTTCTGGCCCCCAGGACGGAGGAGTTCGCAAGAGATTCCCTTGTCCTGCAAACATGTGGCAAAATATGGCGGATGTCGACACTACGGCCAAAACAAGGACCAGCGCAGAGATCTTTGTAAACCCTACGCTACGCGTGTCATGGGTCTGAGAAGGCATTGAGCCAGAGTCGTCTAACATGTCCTGCGTTTCGATGGCCGTGTCTGCAGCCACGCAAATCACAAGGCTAATGACGAGTCCTGTCACGGTTCCAAACAAGGCCATCTGCAGCACTGTTTGGCCAAGCCTCGACGTAGTGGTCAACCAAGACTTGCGAAAGGCGGTCAGGCCCAGCTGTGTGTCAAGGTGTGCACTGATGTGTGTTCGTGAATGGTCAACCCATAGCTGAGTGAGGGGATGGAAAACTCGATGTAAAAATGCAGGGTACCGCTCAAGGCTACGTGCAACTCCGTAAAGGGAAAATTCCACCTGCATGTCATGTGAACTATGGGTGAGCACCCAACCCATGCTGGTACCCCCACAATCGACGTCACCTAATGTGTCCAGCCAAGGTTCAAGGCTGCGACATGAATAGGCACCAGCGTCATTGGCCGGACGGGTCCGATCGGTCGTGTTGACCGACAGATCATGCCTTCTGTGTTCGACTGAGGGAGGCCCAATGGCAGCTCCAGCACGCGCGGTGTCATTGGCAAGGTCATTGAACTGTCCTGTCACGCAGTCTTCACGGCACTGGTCTTCTTCCAGCCCTGCAGCACTATGGCGTGCAAACACTGTCGAATGGCCCGGTGCAAGACAGGTAGGGCTCTCATGCAAGTGGCTCGCAAGTTCAACGTCGTTCGACGACTGCTCAGGAACCCTTGCAGGAAAGTATGATTCTTCGTACTGATCAATTCGTTGCGGTGTCCAAATTTCCTCACCTTCACAGATGCAAAATTCTTCAACTGCCGAGCTGTTAGCTCTGCAACCATGCTGTTCTGGAGTCATCAGATCAAATGCAGGACCTACGGTCAAAACTGGCCTGCACCTGTCCTGAGACCAAAGCCACTGGCGACCTGAACTGTTGTTGAGTGCACTGCAAACTGTACCATACAGTGCACTGTTCTGTACTCTGAGGTCAATGTACCTGAAAATTGTCCCACCTGAAAACTGCTGCACTGAAGCTCTGCACGATTCGACAAACACTGTCTTGGAACGCCTCAGGCTGTCATAGCCCCGTGTCCGGTGATTCGCAAGTTCAAGGGTTCCAAGAACGTCGAAATCTTTCCAAGCTTCGTGCCATCTCGAGATTGGGCTCAACAATGAACGGGCCCTGGATTGGAACCCGGTCCACTGAAGTCGGCTCTCCCTGACTAGGCGTTTCCAGACTTTTGGATGCCGGATGTGGTCACCTAGAAAGGGAGGTGGAGCATGACAAGCTCCGCTACCAAGTAGCGAAGCAGCGGAACATGCAAGAAGGACAAAGAAGATCACACGCCATGTTTTCACCGATGCGGCCATGAACGTAAAAAAAGGGTCTCGAGACGAAACTGCAGTGGGTCAAGTAGAGGTACCGTTCAAGTGATTGGAGAGGTAAGGATCTGTGATGATCTCTAATTTTATAGTGTCCATATGTGTCCTAATGCTGTCCCCAAATCATCCACTTCTCCCCTTTCCCAAGTCATCCCAAGCCGTCCAGAGGCTGCAAATGCCAAAATGGCAAAGCAAATTCTTACAATCCTAAAAAGCCATAGTTCGCACATCTTGTGGATCTTAGTGAAATTGAATGAAATTGAAGTGTATTGCATTAGGATGCATTAAGATTTTTCAAAGTGTTTCAATGTATTTCATATAAGGCGTTCCCTTGCTAGGATGCTCCTGATTTGCTAGCGTCATCATGCGTCATCCTGATTCATTCAAGAACCCATTCCCCAGGGTTCTTTTGAGCAATTCCAATTGGAATCAAGCCAAGAAAAAGCAATCTCTATAGAATTGCGGGTCATGACATCCAAAATCATAGAAATCATTCTCTATAGAATCGGTATGCCCCAGTCATCCAAAATCCCTTCACTATACTTACAAGCCTCTATAGAATCAAATTTGCAATTCTCTATAAAATCGAGGCTCTTGAAGGACAGGACTTTACAAGCTCCATATGAGCCAAGGAAACCTGGCTAAAAAAATGGTCTTTTCGGGGACCCAACCCCCGCGATTCTATAGAGGAAATTCCATCCCCTATCAAGGAACAGTAGAATTTAGAATACGATTCTTTTCATGAACCTCATGTTCATGCATCTTGCTTGATAGGTCTATGCAGCAAGACATACGGCCCTCAAGCCTTTCCTAGTAAGTAACTCTTCTTCACCATCGTCCGTTTTGGATCTGCAAGCTTGTCAACCTGTTCCCAACGCATGAAATTACAGGGGCGCTAACACTGGCAAACATCCTCAAAACCCGCTTTGCGGAGCGACATCTTCAAAAGCTACTCCTCCAAGTCTGCACACTCAGCATCCACATGGAACCATCTTCAGACTTCCACTGCAGTGTGACCAAGTTCTCGGAAATGGCATGAAATGTGCCTGTCACTACGACTGCATTGTACACACCACGTTTCATACGAAGCTTGTGAAAAAAACAAACCTTGATTTGAGCAAAACTCCGTGGGAGTATACACAAACCCAGGCCCGACTCTTTTCATGGCCACATTCAGAACATAGTGTTTGGGGAAATGCATGGTGGTGCTTTGGACTTTTGCTGAAATTAGGGAACCTGCTGAACCTTTTGGCAAACATCTTACAGCTTCAACTCATCCAAAAACTGAACACTTTGGATCATTTTGGAATCCACACTGTGTTAACTGAACACTTGGCGCCCGTACATCGAAGGCACCTGCGGACTGCAGGCCTTGCACCTGCAATTTGTCAATTTGCAACGGTGTTCGATCCAACACAAACGTGTAGGTCGAGGCCAATTTCACGCAACAAACAAACAAACAAACAAACAAACATGAGCATAAACATGAGTCTGAACATGAACATGAAAATGAACATGAACATGAGCGTGACGCACCTTGTTCAACACTTTTCTCAAGGACCCAAGGATTCAGTTTTATGTGGGCAATCGGGTCCACTACGCTTTTTGAAATGTCAAAATTGCAAGAGACAAGTTGTTTTCAGGGCATATAGAATCTGCACACCCAGGAGAGAAATCCTGACTTGGCCCCTAAGTTGGAGAGGGGTGGGGGGGGTGGGGGCTAGGATTTAATTGTATACAATGCAAGTTGTTTCTGGGGACAGGCGAAAAATGTCACTGTTACAAAATTGTTTCTCCATTTTCCTGGAGGTAGGGGGTCAGGGGAAAAACCATGACCCAAAACCATGCTTGTTTTTTTGAAGTGACCATCATCACCCTTTTTTACCCTCTAGTATATATTTATCTAATATGGGAGATGATTGACAAGATTGCGAACATTTTGGGACTAAGACTGGACTCACACCACAAAATCGGAAAATCCAAGGTGAAACTATTTTTGTGCACTTTCTAGGGCTGACCAAGTCCAATGACATTGACATGAACTTTGTGCAAGGATGACCTATGGACAAAAATCCACACTGCTAGGGGTAGGCTTGTGATGAATGCCTGTAGTGTAGTGCCCCCCCAAAAAGGGCCACATCTCTTTGAATATGGTGACCCTTTTTTACTGGGTTTTCGTGCCACAGTTGCTTCACACAACATTCCGCAGTTCACCGTCTCTTCTTGTCACTGCATGTGGAAGCTGTTTTTGAGGTGAGACGGGGGTTAGGGGACAGGAGAAAAATGTCACTGTTGAACAGTTGTTTCTCCATGTTCCTGGAGGGTTGGGATACAATTTACAGGTCATTGCACTCTGTCTTGTATCTTCTTGGCTTACTGTGTGGTGATGTTCAGGGGTTATATAGCAACATCGGATAAACATTCCCACTGTGAGGGCCTCCCCTTGCAGTCCACAGGGGGATTGTGGGGAGGGGCCCCGCCATCCAAACCAGCAGGATCACAGAGCAGATGAGCAGAGCAATTATGACGAGTTTTTGTCACGGTCTTTTGGCCATGGAAGCGGCGTTTGTGACATCCATAGTGAACAAGGTGAGCAAAGTGTTCGCAGCGGTAGCAGTTACCAGCACGGGACTGCCTCGCCAAACATACATCACGCATCAAACTTGTCAGCTGCTGCTGGACATGCATTGCACTTTTCCAACCCACTCGAAAAACGCTGCTCTACGCTTGCGCGCTTCGGTTTTTGATGTGTGCGTAGCGTAATACCATTATTGATGCACCCTTGCCGCTCCTCATGTTGCATCCTGAAACACTACGACCATAACCCAGAAGAAAAGTAGAACCCACATGTTGCCTGCAGAGTGGACGGTTTCTCTGCTGGACTCTTGTGGCTGTCACTGGGCGGCATCCGGCGTTTTCACTTGGAACTGCCACTTCCAAGTGCTTCGCAATCGCCCACCCATCGGCCCATCGGCTATTATCGCAGCTTCTACTGGAACAACCTTCCCGCCAGCGAGCTGACCGCTTTCAGCCGGTGGCCTGATCGATCTTGTCCATCACTGTCCAGACCATAAACATGCACTGGCATCTGCTCCAACAGCGCTTTGATCACCCTTTCGCTCCGGCGTTTCAAGAGATGCTGACCCACTTGTCTCCAAGCTCTCTTTGACGCCGCTGCTTTCTCCACTCTTGTGATGTACCTCCTCTGAATCCCTCTGAAGCCTCCCCTCGCCACCATCATCGCCCATCACTCCCGTCTCAAAATCGCCTTCTAGGTCAATCGCCCTCACGCTCGCCACGAAGGCTCGTCACAGCCTTCATTCTCCCCATCCTCCTTCTCCTCTGACCTCCTTCTGTCCTTGCCCTCTGTGGGGCACTGGCCTCTGAACCCTCCTGACTCCGCAACGAAGCCCTCCCTCATGGCCCCGCTCGCCATTTCGAGGAGAATGTTCTCGGGGAGCAGGACTACGGGCTTCCAATTGTGAGTGAGGCTGAAACCTTGGTTCCTGGGCCAGCTTTAGCACGCTCACGCACCCCACGCACTGGCCCTGCTCTACAAAGTAGATTCGTCCGCGCGCGATGTACGTTTGGGATGAACCTGGCGAACCCAAACTTGAAATCAAAATGTTCCAGAGATCACGAACAACCTCAAGTTAACCTTTCGAGAGAGCTGGTTCTACCGATGTGGTTTAAGAGAAATGCTGCCTGCCTTTGAGACATTGAACAAATGTTCTGCACAGTTGTTCACTTGAAATCAATGGTGTGAAGGTAGGTCCTTCTTGAGCCTACAGTTGCAATGACCATTGATTGCAGCAATCGTTCTTACAAATTGTGCATTTCTGCAACGAGCCAACACCCACCTCGATGAGCGTTCTGGAGCTTGCATCCCATTCGTAAACCAGGGTTTCGACCTACCAAGCTACAAGCACTTCTTCAAATCCGTTGCTCAAACTCAGCCTGATTTGTACACCTCTTCGAAACTTTGGATGTCTTTGTCATGCCTTTGCCATGACAGTACAGCACGTGCCAACTTCCACTAAAGAGACATAAATGTTGAAGCTTATGATTTGCCCGCCTCATAACTTTGCTCGCTGCGAAAGACAGAAAGCGCGAGGAGGTCGCGGCCTTGCGCGCCACTTCACTACAAAACGAAACGAATATATATATATATATAGATATGCTTAACAAAGAAAATCTACTTAGAAGCATTAGGTTGGAGGCCATTGCTATTAGGTTGGAGGCCATCGCTAGTAGGCTGGAGGCCATCGCTTCTAGGTTGGAGGCCTTCGCTGTTAGAATGCAAGAAAATGTACAAAAAAAAGAAACTCTGTCCATCACCCCAACGGCATCAGCTATCTGCTATCTCACTCCTTACGTGATAAGCACCACAATCTTTCACAACAATTTGTCTGCTTTTCCTTGACGATCGGAGCAGGTTGAGCGGAAGTGAAGCAACTTGGCTTTCCGAAAGTTCTGGAAGTGAGCCAGGCGGCCTGCCCATTGAAAATGTTCTGCATCTCGGCCTAGGTCCGCGCACTCGATGTCCGTTCAGGTCGCAGGTTTTGTCAGCGGAGATATGGCCAACCAATGATCTCTCGCAAGCATGAATCTTGCTGCCCTGATCCTCTGCTCCGAAAGCTGCAAACCTCAAGGAGGCCTCACCATGTCCGATCTTCAGTTCTTGCAAAAGGCTGAAACCTGACAGCTTCGCTGCAACTCAATGGTGTAACCAGTCTGACATCCAACATGTTCAATTAGGACGTGTTTCTAGTTAGCTGAATAGCAGTTGAAGCAAAAAGACGAGCTGCTAAACAAGCTTAGTTACCAAGCCGCTGCACTAAGGGTCTTATCTTCAAGAAGATGGAGGGTTGCACGGACAATTCTTTCTTCAAACCACCCCAATGGGCCTGCAAGCTCTCCGTCCTGCCAGCGCGTCCCATAGACCTGCTGCAAGAACTAGAAGTGGAGTCAAATTGAGTGCCATTGTCTGGTCCTGGCCCCTCACATTTGCTCAAATCATGGCAAGCTCTAGGACACGCTGGAAAAGACATTAAGAGCCTGGCTTCAGCCCCATCCTGGGATTCAATGAATGTCATTCAGAAAGATGATACCAACAAGAAATACTGCAACAATGTGCAGCCTGCCCCTTGAAACTCCTCTGTCTGTTTGACAGCGCTTAAAAAACAATAATAAAAAAAAACGTCACACGTCCTCGTGGACCACAACTATGGCCTCGTCACGCAAGAAACAAATGGTACTGGCAATTGAAAACACACGTAGAATCAATCAATTATGACTTGACAAGTGCAAAACAGCCGACCTTCTCACCTGTTGATGGCATGAACGTCTCGACATCATAAGCCCCAGCAGTTGGCAGCACCTGCGGGCGAATGTGCTGTGTGCGCTCTGCCGATTCCAGTTCGCTTCCCCAGCCCAGCACCTGCAGCGGCTCAAATGCACGCAGCCGGTGCGCCCAGTGGAAAAGACGGCACGTCCCCGCCTTAACAGCTTGTTTCATCTCGCAATTTTGTGCACTGGACCCAACAAGCCATCTAAACAAGTCTGAGAACGAGACATTGTCATTAGCATTTGTTTCAGCAAAGGCCAGAACCTTAATTAGAGCAGTTGCGCATCAAATGGAAAGGCTTGAAGCTGAAAATCCAACTTCTTCGAAGATCTGAAACGCAGACTCCGCTGGAGTCCGAAAGCAGCAAGAATTCCACATCCTTGGCACCCTCCGTTTGGAGATCCTCGAGGTACTAGGAACGGCGAAAGTGGGGAAGGAACTGTTATGTGAATATGCTTGTCTCATGCACTGGACTCTTGCCAAGCATTGCACCAGTCCTGGTGCCACACAAAAGCGTCTGTGAGTACCTAGTTGTGATCAGATGAGGAAACTGCCAAGGTATCAATCTTAAGTTCAACTTGCAATGCACATGCCTTAAGTGACGAACTGGCCAATTTGACCGTGCTTCGAAAGCAACAATCCAAGCGGCATCCCAACGGTAGATCGGGCTGGACAGTTGACGACTGAAGCCATCGAAGAAGCTGGCGTTTCAGCTGACTCTATCCGTTGACGAATCGAGAGGACTGAGTCAAGCGGCGTCCCAATTATATAGCTTTCCCAGAGAGATTTGCCACATCTTGAGACTCAAACCTCATCTAATCAATCATCTCGTTTCATCCAGTTCAAAGGTTGCCAACGGCCTGGCAAGTGCCAAATAGTATTGCCCTGCCAGCTTGAAGGAACTCAAAGCCCAAGCCCCTGAAGTGGGCAGCGCCTGCACCGCAACCGTTTGCACATGTTGTTTCGACCGCAGTCTTGCTTATTGAGGTGTAGAACAGCCAGAACGGTTTGGTAGAACAATTTGTACCAGGATAGACCCAAAGTAGCATCTGGGATAGATAGATAGATAGATAGATAGATAGATATATACAAAAGCAAACTGACAAGGTGTTCTTGCACAGCCGCTCAGTCTCGAAAGTCTTAGAACGGCTAACATGCCTGAATGCAAAACAAGTAGGGCTAGCCGGGCTAGACAAGCAAAGGGCTCCATAGATCCAAGGTTTCAGGGTTCCAGATCAAGAGACTTGCTGCATGGTCCCAGTCAGAGAAGGTGCAATCAAAATCGGTTGCAGAGCTCAAACATGTTCCAAGTCTCCAAGAAAAAAACTGAGTTCAAGGTTTGGTTGCTTGCGGGTTCCAAGCGAAAAGGCGCGATCAAACTCCAATACCGAAGTTCAAGGTGCAAAGTTGCAATCAGGGCCTTAAGGGCCTTAAGGAAAAGAAAGAACCGTTTTGCTTCCAGCTATCAAGGAAAGGTATGGAAAGGTGACTTAGACCTGAAACAAGTATACTGCAGAAACGATTCAAAATCAGCACTTCCTTCACATTGCAACACCTGAACATAGCAATGCCAGGCCTGGTGACGCTCGAAGCGACTAGCCAGTGGATCCCAGCGGTAAACCTAGAGTTTGCGAGGCTGCCCAGCTGAAATGAAACAACGCAGCATTACGGGCACGGCACGGCACGGCACGGCAGGGCACGGCAGGGCAGGGCATGCCATGCCATGCCATGCCATGCCTGGCATGCATGCATGCACATGCATGCACATGCACACACGCACACACGCACACACCCACACACACCCACACACACACACACACCCACACACGCACACACGCACCCACGCACACACGCACCCATACACATCTGGCAGCAGCACTAGCGCCCAAGCTCCAAAGCACACACAGCCATCTTGCAGCACCACCCCAGAGCACGCAAGCTCCAAAGCGCACACACCCATAGACATCTCGTAGCAGTACCCTGCAGCTGCACAAGCACCCGGGCTCCAAGCACACACAGGCACCTCTTCCTCTACTTGAAGTAAGAACCCAACTATACATGAAGTAAGCTCTCGCTATCTGTGGAAGAAACAGCTGGGTTGGGCCGGTGGCTGAGCTGTTCAGATTGTGGCTTAGGCTGTCATAGAACCGGGCCGAAGCCAAATGGGTCCTGGCATTAAAGTGCATAAAGTGATGACCTCCTCTGAGTTGGTGCACTCACTCCAGGTCGCGAAACACAACACTTCTGACACAAGAGAGATTGAGGTTTCGAGTGCAGGTGTCATGTCCTCCAGGAGTATATGCTACAGGAGGTATTGCGTTGGGCCTCGCCAAGTCAAGTCATGAAGAACAGTTTCGTGCTCAGAATCCTTAGTCACTTCCACTCCATAGGGAAAGCTTAAGGTTTCAAAGACAAGATCTATCATGGCTCAGTCGCAAAGTTCATTCGATTTGACATCAAAATCCAGAGCTGAGCGCCTTGAAGCCTTTACTAGTCTGCTGTAATGAAGTTTGTAGTGAAGTGTGATATGCTGGCAGCTTTATGCTAGATGGGTACTTTGACATTTTTGCCAAAGAATTCTTCCCCACTGCCTCATTGGACTCACCTACGGGGCAGCTGTCGACCTCAAGAGCACAACGCAATGCGTAGACTTGACTTTGTTGAACCAAGCACAACGCAAAGTATGATCATGAGTATGTTCGCAGTGAAGCTCTCCCTTGAAAATGTCACAAACACTCTGCAAGAAGACACAGGACATGATCTGCATCAAGCACATGATTATGCTATATATGTATGAATGTATGTATGATTTTTTTCCACGGTTCTTTTCCTGTGCAAATGGGTGCTCACGTGAACATAGTCCGCAAGTCCTGTGACTTGGTTGGACAGGCCTCTTTGAGGCGACGGTTGAGGGCGACCTTCTCGTTGATGATCCGGCTTCTTGCTCCGCAGCGGGAGCACTCTGCAGCATTTCCAAGGCGCTGCATTGTGTGGGAGTTGTGACCCTCCCACATTGAGGGCGGAAGTGGTCCGCTGTGGCACACCTGTCCAACGAACTCTTCAAAGGTCTGTTCATTCGACCTTGCCAAAATGTAGCTCCGACAAAGGTCACAACGCAAGTACGCTTTGTCTAAGCGCAAAAAGTGCACTCCTGGCTGAGGTTTGCCCTGGCTTTCGATGAGCTGCTTGATTACCTCCAGCCTTGGGGCTTTTGCGACCTTGACTCGGACAGGATTCTGACACGTCGAAGCCATGGCAGCTTTGATCTCCTGGATCATGCTTTTGGAGTGGGTCCGGTCTTTACATCGACAGCAAATGGCGCCGGAGCGATGGACCTCCCACTGGTGTCCTCCGTTCTCAGGCTCACGAAGTAAGGATGCAATGAGCTCTTTCTTTTGCTGAAGCAGCGGCGTTTTGACTTTTTGGGTGAGCTGTGTGGGCTTCCTCAAGAAGTGGTCCTGATCCCGAAGAACCCTATCAACTCGTTCTGCCGCTGTCATGAGGATGTCGGCTAGGTCTTCATCAGTGGCCTTCTGGTAAGCAAGGAAGTCCTTGGGAGCCTCAGCTTTTGCTCTCTCCTGAGCAATGCGTTTGATGGATCTCTGAAGTTGTTTCCTTGTCTTCATGCCCTCCTCCTGTTGCAAGTGCGAAAGGAACAAGAGTGGTCTGACTTGGTCAAAGTCTTCAAACTCAAGTCCACTGTAAAGGTCCGGGAATTTCTCCAAGGCCACATGAGGTGTCCAAGCCTTCCAAACTTGTAGGTTGGAGATGCCAACGTGGGTGGAGTCAAGCAGGTGCATGGCCAACTGTTTGAGCGCATAGAAGGTGGCTCGAGTTTTTGTAGCCTCTCCTGGGCAGATGCCCGAGATGGAGGCGAGGCACTCCTTGGTGGCAATCTCAAAGATCCCAATAGCAAAGATGTATTGCTGATGGCGGGTGTCCGCACATGTGGGAGCAATGTCCAAGCAGCATGCATGTCCATGATCGATGTGACATGGTTGCAAACTGTGCCACATGCCAGCGCCTTCAAAGGTGGAAGGTCCTCCATGCCGCTCACGAAAGGGGAGCTGAGAGAGACCCCTATTCCAAATCTCAGGCTCGATGTTCTGGCTGATGCGGTCCTTCCATTCATCTGGGATATCTTTGACTCGGCCTTGCCAGTAAGAGCATTCCCAAACCAGGTGGATAGTGGACAGCTCGACTCCACAAAGGGGGCAAAGACCAGTGAAGCCATGTAGCGTTCCTTGATGGAAGGCCCTCAGTGCACAGGCAAGGCGGTCACTGGTGGTGCGCTGAAGCTTGAGGCTCATAGTCCAATCCAGCGGCTGTTCCAGGTGTTCGCAACCTTTGTACTTGGTCAAACGGATGAGACGTTGCCATTTGAACTCCTGTTGCAACAACATGTCCAATTCTGGCCAGAGCTTTTCCAGGGAAAGAGTGCAGTCAGGAATGGACCCATAGCCTTCTCTGTGCCATGTTTTCCCATCCTGGATGTCAAAGCCAAGGTCAAGCAGGTAGGCTTGCAACGCCTGCAGAGGGCCCGTGACGACCTGCCAAGGATACTTGGCCTTCTGGAGAGGAGCAAGGGCAAGGCTCCAGCTGGAGTTGAAGAGATGGCGCTTGCTGTCGTCCAAGCTATGATACAGCTTCCAAATCGTGTGGACATGCTGTTGAATGATGACGTCCCCTGGGTCAGGATGTTTCTTGTTCATGTCAAAAACGATGTCCACGGAGCCGGACTTCTGAAGCTTGAGGGCGCGAGCCGCCATCACTCGTAGCTGATGTCGTCGCTGTGGGGCGAGCCCGTTGGCCTGAGCCCCCCAGGTCATCACCGGATGGATCGCTCCCCGATGTAGCCTGTATCTCACATTCGAGTGGAGCTTGAGTCTGTGCATGATGCCAACTCTGGATCTCCCTTTGCTGAATCGCTTCTTCACCTGCGTCACCCTTCGTCTCTTTGCTGCTGTGGCATCGATGCCAAGATCTCTGAAGACGTCATAGAGCTCAGGATCCCCAGGTTGTAAGAGGGCCTTCAAGGCCGTGGCAGTCTCTTTGGAGCTAATGAAAAAACCTGTCTTGTCCGTGTTGAGCTTGAGACCAGCTTCTGTGAGGGCTGATTGAAGGCATCTGTAAACCTGGAGTGCTTCCTGAGCCACATAGATGGGATCTCGACCACGAACATCAAAGGAGACATCATCCACCCATGTCAGAAGCAAGGCTGCAGGATGCTGTCGTTGGAGTGTCAGGAGTGGCTTGTAAAGTACCAGCTTGGCAATGGCAGGAGCTTGAGGGCATCCCTGTAAAATGCCTTTGCGATAGTGCTGGGGCTGTGTTGCGATGCCTTCTGCTTGAATCACTCTGGGGCCGCGGTAGAGATCGATGGCCATCTTCAGGTGAAGTAGAGGATATTCAAGTTCCCTTGCCGGCTGAATGAGCTGATCAAGATCCACAGTGTCATAAAAGCAGCTGAGATCTGCTAAGCAGGTGACAGTGTGGATGTCATTGTGCTTGCAGAGCTCAGATTGAAGCATGCGACCAACAGCTATCGAAAGACAATCTTTTTTGGGTCTTGCATGATCCCAAGGCATGGCAGTGTCAAGTGAGAGCTGCCATTTGACGATGTCCTGCTTGCGGATGCGGTTCCACAGTCTGTAGAGGCATGATGACAAGGCGATCGGCCTCTCAACTTTGAGGTTCTTGGGAATCATCACGATGTTGACCATCCTCATTTGTGTTGGTAGAAGAGCTTCTTGTTCCATTTGATTGAACAAGTTTGCCAGTTGGGCTACCGCCTCAAAGGGGAGCTGCTTGGGGAAGTCATAGGAAATTCCATCCGGACCAGAAGCTTTGCGCGGCAGTTTCTTGATCAGCCTTTGAAGACTAAGTGGGTTGATGGGTTGAAGAATGCGAGCCTGCTCTATGGCATCTTCTCTCAACTCCCTGAAGCCCCTGATGTGACAAGGTTCATCGACTGGCAACCATATGGCACCCCACTGACTCTGTCTGGCCTGAAGACGTTCTTGAAGAGGGAGGTCCTGAAAAGGTCTTTGCCATGGGATGTCTTTCTGTCGAAGACTTCGGAAGAGGCCTCTCAGACCTTTGGAATGTGCTTGAGCCAGCCAAGTTTTATACTCTTCGGAACTGGCCAAGGCTAGCCCGATGTGGGCTTGGTGTTCTTGTGTCATGATGATGTCTTGTAGACCTTGTGGATCTTGGTGAGTGTGTTCCACCCAGAAGGAAAGAGATGCGCAGAAGTTGTCCTGATCTAAATCATCGGCTGCGTGCTCAGCTATGCTGGGGATCATGTTGAGGAGATCCTGCTTGACAGCATTGTTCTCACAGTGATGGAGAGCATTGATCCGGACAGACATCTTTTCCCAAAAGGCTGGTCTGCCTTTCTTCCACAACTGCGCAGGGTGTGGTCCTGCCAAGGGGCCATTGTAGAATTGAACTTGATGCCCTCGTCCTCTACGGGGTTGTTGGATCTGTTGTGTGAGATAGCACTCAGACTTGGCGCACCACCTGGCGAGATCTGATCCGAGACCCGTGATCTGGTAGTTGAGGATGTAAAAGGGTCCGTTGGGCTCCTGGAATTCCGACCAGCTGTGATGAGGGTTGAGAGCTTTCCCAATGGGCGGGAAGGCTCTGATCTGCTGGACCGGAATGGCTAAATACTCGCTGTGGTACTTGAGATGAATGGCACAATGAGGCTTCCACGGGACTTCCCAACTGATGTCCAACGTCAAAGAACCATGAAGAGAGTTGGAGACGAGGAAGTAGTCGATCTCGCTTCCTTGCAGAGTGGTGGGGACATCTCCTGCCAAAAGGTGAGCTTTGAATTTGCTTTGAATGACCATCGCGGCTAGCTCACTTGGAGGATTTTGCCAATCTCCGCCAATGATGAAGGGAGCTTTGAGGAGCTCGAGGAAAGCAAAGAGGTTGCTGAGGATCTCGGCATTCAGAGGTGACTGCAAGGTTTCTCCGGCGCGGAGATACAGCTGAATGATGGCTATGTGGAGGCCCTCCCTCTGATATCCCACAGCCATCCAGCCATTGCCTTCTTTGCAAAAGTGTTGCAACCTGTGAAGATGGTGATGGGGAGAAGGAAACCCCCTGTGTTGCCTCCACGACCCGTGGCCTCAGCCGGAATACCCAGCGCTCTCCATCCTCTGGTGGTGTAGTATTGCATGACATCTTGTAGCTTGTTGTCGCTCAGGTGATTTTCCTGAAGAAAGAGGAGGTGATCCGCCTTGGACCACACCCAATCCTGAACTTTCTTGCCGAAGGAAGTGACATTGGCGAAGCACATCAAGACATCTTCATAATGAGTTTTGGTCTTCTTGGGGGCAGGCTCAGGAACGAAGAGGTCATCAGAGTCATCTAGCATGTGGTCATGGACAAGCCAAACCTGAAGAATTGCGGATTCCTGTAGTGAGGTGAGCTCCCCAATCGGTTGTGGAAATTGGTTGTCGTCTACACTCCATAGGGCGTTGTCCAAAGCATGGATGGCAGTGAAGTGCCCGCTGCGATGGTCCTCACCGTGATGCAAGATCATGGCCACTGTTCTGTAACCAGCTTTAGATACGGAGACCCCATCATTGGAGTATGGCACCGTGATGACCGG